TTATTAATTTTTTTGTATTTTCATTTAACATATAAAATAGAAAAAATTAATTCCTTTTATAATCTATTTCGCATATAATATAGCTGCATCATGCTGTATTTTTTATATTTTAAATAAGATAAATGTAATTAATTACACACTTGTCGGCGAGAAAGAAAGTGAAGGTGAAAAAATATAAAATATTTAATTACAAGAACAAATATTCTTAGCTCGCCGCGAACTTTGATTCTATCGTCAATTCGCACATATTCTCGATGCGCGAGTTCCGAGTCTCGTAGAATATTATAATACTTAGCAAATAAATTTTTAGTTCCACAGGGATAATAAAGTCTAAATTTCCTAGAAAGAATATTCTTTAATATTCTTCAAATTTGTCTTTTTTCCCTTCTTTTTGAACAGAATATCTATGATTTTACGTCGCTTTTTTTATTATATTCAAATTCTAATCACATATCAGCTGCTAACATAACAGATTAAAAAGAAATTTATCTATAAGCGAAAATAGTAAGAAATGAGTTTAATTTCTTTAAGAAAAATTGTGTTTTTCTGAGCACCCTATATGTCGCACTTTTGCGTTCTTACACGGCTATACAAACGTGTATCATTGATGTGGTGTTCAACAAAGCGTGACTATGGAACTCCTAGACATTAATATTTAATACTTAATCGCATGTAAATGCGATATTATACGAAAAACATGCCAACAATGTTTACAATTATTTACAATTACGCTGCAATTGTATTTTATACATCTTCTGAACTCTTTGAACATCTGCGAACCCTTCCACACTTTCAGAAACTGAATAAGTGTGGTTATTTCGTTGCAATAATAAAAGATTGTTAGGAGGCGAGACTTGCAAATTGATCTATACTACGATTTACGTAAGTAAAGACTTGCGTCTTTGTACCTATATGTATGTACTCGTATGTTCAAAGTTCATATTTTCTTTTTCTTTTTTAAGTAAATATACTTTCGAATAAATGTTTGACACATCGAAATTGCTCCACGCTGTTATTTAATGCCTACACTTTGATTCAATCTCCGCCTAGCTGCGGTTTTATATCTTTTCTCTTTCTGCTTTCTAGTTTAGTTTTGTCTCCCATCACTGTCTCTCTTATAGTTTAGCTTTCTCTTTCACGTTTTTCTGTCTGTAATGCTCGACAGACGAATACCTATAGTCTAAGGAATCGATAACTTCCTTCTCCAAGAAGAAGAAGAAGAAGAGAAAGAAGAAAAAGAAGAAGAGAAGAAGAAGAAGAAGAAGAAGAAGAAGAAAGAAAAAAAATATGGCTATAGAACTGGTCAGATAGAATATAATATATTTGCTATTTTGATTATGT